TGAAGCAGAGCCTAACTTCTCAGATGAGAGGTGCCTCTATGATCTAGAGGGAAGCCAATGACACAGGAGCAGGGAAACACCCAAGCAAACAGGCTTGGTTTAAGTCTCCCAGTGTACCACAGCAAGATCGTAGAATCTCTGCCAATCATTGTCCATTCTTCCAAAACTCAATATGAAAACAAGCAGATTGCCTATTTCTTTGGGTTTTCATTTTATTGTGATTAAATTAGCTATATTAATACCTTTCTCTTCTTATTATTTCTCAGTCTATTATTAGGAACTCCTCAGCCAGGAAATTCAATATTCATGAGGAAAGATATTTTTCCTCCCCAACATAACCAAGAGAGAGAAAAGTGATGATTAATAGAAGGGTTTATAAGCCTGGTGGTGGTGGTGCACATGCCTTTAATCCCAGCACTTGGGAGACAGAGGAAGATGGATCTCTGTAAGCTTGAGGCCAGCCTGGTCTACAAGAGCTAGTTCCAGGACAGCTTCCAAAACCACAGAGAAACCCTGTCTTGAAAAAAATAAATTAAAAAAGGAAGGAAGGAAGGAAGACAGGAAGGAAGGAAGGAAGGAAGGAAAAGTAATGTTTATAGGCTGTGGTTACACTGCTCATGGGTACAGTTCTTACCTAGAACGACAGGCCTTAGGTTCCATTCTCACTACCATAAACACAAAGAAAGTTGTGTTGGTAACTCATCCCCAGCTCATCAGCGGAAGAATATCCAACTAGACATTTAAGTGTTATCAGAAAAGCAAAAAAGACTTCCTCTACAAGCTTTTAGCAAGGAAACAAGGGTTGGATGCGGAGAACATGTAAGCAGGGGAACCATTCATTCGGATAACAGTAGCAATATGTCTTAGTTTGGTTTACTCTCGAAAACAATGATCACCGACCTGGGGAGGAAAGGATTTTTATTACATCTTACAGAGTAGAGTCCATCATGGAAGGAAGCTAGGGAAAGCGCTGAAGTCTGGAACATGGAGGCAGAAACTGAAGCAGAAACCACGAGGGATGCTGCCTATTGGCTTCCTCCTCAAGGCTCGCTCAGCCTACCTACTTATTTAGCCCAAGACCACTTGGCCGGGGGTGGCACCACCCACAATGGGCTGGGCCCTTCTATGTCAATCATTGATCAAGAAAATGCCCTTACATGCTTGCATTCAGGCCACGTAATGAAGGCAATTGCTCAACTAAAGTTCCTTCTTTCCAAATGACTCCAGTTGGTGTCAAATTGTCCAAAAATTAGCCAGCACATGACAGTTTGTCCCCAGGAGGTGGCTTCCCAGATTTCTCACTGCTGTGTTCATAGTCATTGAGTAGAAGCACCCCAAGAGATTGCTTGAGTTACTCTAAGTATGAAGGAGCTGGAGTTCCGCTAGCTTCTCCAGCAATCCTTGCTGGTCCTCTGGCCCCTCCATCTGTAGCCAAATGCTGTTTTATAAAACAAGAAAGGAAGAAGAAAGGAAGGTGAGAGAAAAAGAAAACCCGGGGAAGTGGCCTCCTCTTCTCGTCTCAGTTATCTGATTAATCATTTAGCTGGTACACCTATGCCTACTCAGGTGAGAAGATATGTGAACTAAAGGCCAGGGTCACAATCTGTCTCAAGTATACAAGCTCCCCCCCCCTCCCCATATTCGAATGGGAGGAGACTCGATGTTTATAAAACTATTTTCATCCAGTCACAGTCTCCTAGCAACCAGACAAAAGCATCGGTGGCGTTCAGGATGACTTTGAGCAGCAGCTCAAGCCTTTCGTTGCTCAAGCCTGCCTGTAGGAACCCAAACAACGCAGTGCTGCCATCAGCCTCCAAAGGGTGAGACATTCTGGGGTGTGGGGGAGGGGCGGGTAAGAGCATGATGTAGTAGACATCTGCGAATCACCAAAACAGGACTGTGAGGCAGGATCTGCCTGGAATGTGCAGATATTCCATAGTGCCCAGGATTCCTTACACTACGGGGGTTGTGACTCTGGGAGAAGTGGGGGGAGACTTGGCATTTATGAAAAAGCTAGAGCTTGAGGCAGCTGGCATCATAACAGTCTGTTTAGTGTGTGCTTCCAGCTAGTGGTCTTGATTTCTTCATAGCTCTACAGACAGAAAAGAATGGCTGACAAAAATAAAGTCTAACCGAATAGTCTATGCAAACGGCTGTCTCTCAACCAGGCAGAGATGACAAATGAATGAAAATCTCCTTAGTTAACCAAACCTCATCAGACATTCAACGGTTGTTTTGTATTAAAAAGAAATGCAAAGGAAGGAGAAAGTTAATTTTCATAAGTTGACACAGCTAGTTGGTGGTCTTTCAGGGTCTTCTGATCCCCTTGCCTGGTGGTAGGCACTGATATTCTTAATATTTAAAATATATATAGGAGATATCTTCAGATATTATGTCATATTGGGATGGGGGTGCTAAGAGAAAGCCATGGCAACAATCAAAAGATGCAGATTTGTAATTCATAAGTATGAAAAATCAAAGGGTCTGCTCAGAGCAGTAAGACAAGAATTGGTTAAAGTAAATGCTAAGGCTTTTACTATTCAGGCTTCAAAGCAAATGATCCCACTTCCTGCCAAGAAATTGAGCCCACTTTCTATTAAGGAATGAAATAGAACAAAGTCCTGTGAACTTGATGCTTTTATAAATGATTGAATTAAAACAATTTTAGCATATTTTAGCCATCATGGAATGATAGAATGTCAGGGTGAAGTCTGGCAAGAAGCTAACGAGACCTGTTTGTTTTGTTTCGTTTTTGTTTTTGTTTTCTGTAACACCAGACAGCCAAGCATCTTGGCCATCAATCAGTTGTCGAAAGGATGGCACATCCCAGTGCCTGGCTTCCCTAGGTCAAGACTTTTCTTCCCCTAGACTATGAGGCCTCCTTTCTAACTTGCAGCATTCCCTCCCATCCTCCCCCATTCAGAGCAATCCAGTGTCTTTGGAACAAACCCATTTCTTGTTTTATCTTTGTTTTTGTTTTTGTTTTTTTTTTTTTTTTTTTTTTTTTTTTTTTGAGACAGGGTTTCTCTGTGGTTTTGGAGGCTGTCCTGGAAGTAGCTCTTGTAGACCAGGCTGGTCTCGAACTCACACAGATCCTCCTGCCTCTGCCTCCTGAGTGCTGGGACTAAAGGCGTGTACCACCACCCAGCTGGAACAAACCCATTTCTGTGCAACACTCCTTCACCTCTTCATGTCCACTTGCTCTTTCTCACAGGCTGAAATAGACGCAGCAGCAGGAAAAATAGGTTATCCTTTCAATTATCTTTAAAGTAGGGATTTAAAACCCCACATGCAATTGAAATAGTCTGCAAACATTTCTGTTGCATCTATAATCAGTCTTCTCCAGAGAAACAAAACCAGGAGAAGGGGTGTGTGTGTGTGTGTGTGTGTGTGTGTGTGTGTGTGTGTGTGTGTGTACAGGTGCAACTGTGCTGGAGACAGCTACTGAACTACCATAAAAATACAGAGAGAGAGGGAGGGAGAGAGAGACTGGTTTAAAAGAAACTGGTTCCCGTGATTGTAGAAGCTTGGTCAGTCTGAATTTGATGAAAGACATCAGCAGCAGTCTGGAGACCCCAGAAAGAGTTGCAGTTAGAATATAAGCTGTCTGCTGGCAGATTTCATTTTTGCTAGGAGAGGTTAGTCCTTGTTCATTCAAGACTTTCCACCAATTAGATAAAGCCACTCACATTATGGAGGGAAGCATACTTTATGTCAGTACCTCAATTTAAATGTTTTTCTTTGTTTGTTTGTTTTTCAAGACAGGATTTCTCTCTCTGTATTGCTTGGAGCCTGTCCTGGAACTTGCTCTGTAGACCAGGCTGGCCTCAAATTTACAGAGATCCATCTGCCTCTGCTTCCTGAGTGCTGGGATTAAAGGTGTGCACCACCAACCAGCTAAATGTTTATCTTACCCAGGAAACAATCTTATAAAAACATTCAGAATAACATTGTTGTTGTTTGGTTGTTTTGAATTTTTGTTTTGTTTTTGAGACAGGATTTATCTGTATAGCACTGGCTGTCTTAGAACTAGCTCTGTAGAACAGGCTGGCTTTGAACTCATAGAAATCCACTTGCCTCTGCTGGGATTAAAGGCATTGCCACCACTGCTTGGCCCAAAATAACATCTAACCAAACATTTTATAATAGTGATTCAGTCATGATGAGTCATCAAACTAGCTGTCACAATTAATACAAATCATGCTGGTAGGTTTGATTCCTAGCCCTACTTGTTGCTGAGCCCCCACCATTCAAGGGTAATGATTTTTTTCACAAACTTGTGTGTGTGAGAGAGAGAGATAGAGAGAGAGATAGATTTCAGAGCCCCTTTGATCCCATTACCTTATCTTTTTTTTTTTTTTTTTTTTTTTTCAGTTAAAGTCAAGGTGAGCATTGAAGACACATTTGCCACTATTGTGTGGACTGCCAAATGGCAGTCATGGACCACACACATGGACAGTTCCATCATGAGCTGTCATTCTAGCATGAAATCATTGGGAGTCACAGTGTTGACCACACACAGGACACTCCCAATATATTTAGACCACAAGTCAGCCTGTATGAGTGGTTCTGCCCAAAGAGCCTTATAAACTGCTGCATGCACCATCCCTGTTTTCCAAGCTGGATTGCTATGAGCATGAGTACACAGTGGGTGTGAGAAAAACTTGAAAGAAGGCAACCGAGACGGCTCAGGACGTCAAAATACTTAAACTCAGCCGAAGGACCTGAGTTCCACATCGCTGGGTGACATCATGAGAAAACCAACTCCTGAAAACTGTCATGTGCATCCTCACTCATATGCACACACAAAGTTACTTAATAAATTTTTTTTGTAATTAAAACTTGAAAGAAATGCGCCGTTAGATGGGAATGTGTTCCAAGGCTAGGTTCTAGGTCACTTTCTGACTTGGGACTCTTAGATCCCTTCCACAGCCTGAGACTCCATGACTGGTATTTGTAGCAACAGCATCCCTAATTCATAATCTCTCTGATTTGCTGCTGTAGTTTCTAGGCTTGCAGAAATTGCTCTTTCTAATGCCTATCAGGTGGAGCGCAAGCTACAGATGCCTGCTCAGCTCCAGTCTTGCGTCATGGAAAAGAGACATGTAAAACAGGAGGTGAAAAGGCTGCTGTGAGTATGGCTGAGAATAACTTTCGTTTCTGACCCTGGCATGTGGAATGCTGTCACAGATGGGCTGGATATTAGCAGGTGCACAAAAAGCTAAGGAGGGATCTCTCCGCTCTACAGGAGAAAGCCAGCAGATGCTCTGGTCTCTGTCTCTGTCTGCCAGGCACAAGTTGTGCAGGGCAGAATGCAGAATCTCTTAGGAAAATTCTTCTGTAGCAGCATGCATGTGCAAAGCACCCCCACAGCCTAGCAGGACAGGATGCATCACTGAAAGGGGAAGCACTTACTGGCAAAAGATATAGATGCCTAGATGTGGCTAGCACTTGAACCAGAGCCTCTGCTGCTTTTATTATTGCCAAGCTTAACAACCAAATAACCCATCTCCTTTTTCTTGACTTCTAAACTTTCTTGACTAATAAACAAAAGATCAAGTGTCCCATAAATTTTTCCCATCCAATTCAGTTTTGCTCTAGCCTAATACTTTAAAAATAAAAGTTGATGAAAAAAAATCACAGATCGTACAACAAGAAGAGGTCACATTTTATTTTTTATGTGTTGTTGGCACAACACTAATGTGTTTTTTTTTTTATCAAAGATCTTATCATAAATTCCATCAAATGTCCTTTGCCTATAAAGATGGTTGTCTTCTACTAAATCTTTAAAAAATGCTGGAATAAACATGTATAGAACTCACTCATGTTTACACATATGTGTTTGGAAGTCAATATAATAAGAAAAAACAAACAGTAGTTAAGAATGCCAACTCTGACAAGTGTAGTGATGCACACATTTAATCCCAGCACTATGAGAGACAGAGGCCAGTGGATCTCTGTGAATTCAAGACTGGCTTGGTCTACAGAATTCTAGGATAGCCATGACATAAACAAACAAACAAATCTTTTCTGTGTGCTGACATTTTGCATTCTTCCTGCTTTCCAATGATGAGTTTAATATTAAGATTAATGTGATTTGAGTTCATTATGATTAGATGTTTTAAACCTGTAGCTTTGAAGATCACTATCCAAGCTAAAATTGAATATTAACAGCTACTAGACCATCAGTGATTATCATTGCATTTTTGTCCTGGGAGGGGGAGGGACTGGGAAGAAATCCTCTTTCCGAAGACAGAACCCTGTGTCGTTCCCCGTATCTCAAAGCTGCTCTCTTGCTTTTAAGGGGAGAGTATATTGGCATCAGACTTCGGGAAAATGAATTTGATCCAAAAGGAAGACGTCAACTCACCTTTCTAGATGAGATGGTAAAGAATGTCATGTTGGTGAAACTCCCATTGCGTTCCGTATGTAACACACACACACACACACACACACACACACACACACACACACACACACACGGGCACCCTGGCCTCTTCCTTGTTTTCCTCACCCTAAGGTTGTCCCTATGATCATGTCCACCCACTAAATAGAAGGCAAAAAGAGGATGTGGAAATAAACATAGATGAGAAAAGATTTAAAGACAAATGACTACAAGATAAAAGGTTAACGCACAATGTTAAAGACCTTGGCAAAATTAGCAATAAGGTAGTTCTCAGCTGTAATCACATATCATCGCTTGCATTATCACAGTAAAAGCAAAGTGATACAGGACCCTTGAATCCTTTTCATTATTCATACTGAGTCTAGGTTCACGTGAAGTTCTGCTAGCTCATGACACAGAAAGTAGAGACGAAACTACAGAAAGATTTAGCTTGCCCCCTGTCCATGAGCTATCCTTGTGCTGAGAGGGGTGTCTCTTTTCCTCAGTTTCCCTCTGTGTGAAGCCAGGGTTTGGAATTAAGCCTGCCTCTCGTGTGCACACACCACACAGGAAGTTAAACAGATTAGAGCTGTGCTTTTCAAACTTTAATGAGGTTTTATTACAGAGCTATTTTGATTCTGGAGGTTGGGGGTAGGGCTGGGTGCTTGTATTTCTAATGAACATGACCAGTGTGACAGATCCAGACATCAAACTCCAGATGAGACTTCCACAAGTGACCATGGTCCAAACCCCTTATTTATAATTTAGGTTGGCATTTTACTTTAGCCGGGTCCCTGGAGGGTATCATTACATTACTTACAAATTCTTAGAACCTTTGCCTTCCTGGATATAGGGATGGGAAAGGGGATATGGGGATTAATAAGCGGTACACATGCTTATTAATAAGAGCTTACAGATGACCCGGGGAAATGTCACCACTGCGATAAGTAGAATCAGTTTTGTGCCAGGTGTGAAGGTCTCCATCTGTCACTCAGTCAGGTCTACCTGGCCCGTTGCTCATGCTCTGTCCCCCTGACATGTCCTTGTCCATCTGTGGAAATCCCCCTTTCCTACAAACCTTAGTTCTGAGGATGCCTCCTCAGTGAAGCCTCCCAGGATTATCTCTATCTCCCCAGGTGATTGCCACACTGCCTCCCTCCCTTTGCCCATGATTCCCTGTCCCCTGGGAGTGCATCTCTAACACCAAACAAGGTCAGAAAATGCTCACCATAGCCTTCTTTCTCCACTCCCCCCTTTTGCCTTTTTAAAACGTAAGGAGAGGGAGGCTCAGCACTCATCAGGGCATCGCCCAAGAGCAAGTCCCTGGCAATCCCAGTGTGAGGCCACATTTCCCAGTTCCCAGTTGAGGATTCTTTCTTTTCTGGACCACACACAGCAAGTAACTGCTTAACCAGAGCTAAAGTAAATGCCTGAAGATCCTGAAGGATCTCCTAACTGAGAATCAGGCTATTTATAAATAAGGAACCCCACCCCCACGTTGGAACATGAAGAGGGTGGGCTTCGTGATGCCACTGTCAGGGAAGTGCTTTGCTGGTACCTGAACCAATGCCCTCAAGCTCTGCTCTCTACTTCCGGCTTCCAGGCTCACTATGACTTAGCCGTCAGTGTTGCTTGTCAGTGGCTACATCCCTCAGAAGACTTAACTTGGCTCCAGTGGGAGAAACTGTAAGTTGAAATACGTTTCATTTTTTCCTTTTAATCTATTTATTTAGTGTGGGTATGGAGATAAGTATGTATAGACATCCCTGTGTACAGATGTGGGTGTACGCCAAGGTCGGAGGTCAATGTCTGACTTCCTCTGTCATTCTTCATCTTAGTTTTTGAGATACCATCTCTCTCCCATTGAATCTGCAGCTCACCACCAGCAGGCCTAGCTGGCCAGCCACCTCCAGGGAGTCTCCTCCTGTCCCCATCTCCATCTCCCCAGCACTAGGATTGCAGTTTGTGCCACCATTGTCCAGATGTTTATGTGGCTGATGAGGGAAGGCTCAGGTCCTCATGCCTGCACGAGACAACCACTCTACCTACGGAGCCGTATCCACAGCTCTTGTAGTTTTCCCTTGTAAAGCATGACTCTCATTTACAGAGGAAGTTCCAGCCCTATCTGGTGTCTTCTTATGATATGCCCTGATCTAGAAACACAAGGCAAACTTCTCCAGCCAGAATCCTCAAGACAGGCTACAGCTGACACCATAGCTATGCTCACATGTATTTCTAATCATTGGTTTCCATCAAGTTAAAAAAATAAAATAAAATCTTGCATGGATGCTCTTGTCTGAAAAGCATAACTTCATTGTATTATATACAAGTTATTATTTTTAAATGGTCAGTTCTGTAGGTAAAGCCTGAAATTACCTCCCAAGGGATCATCTTACACAGTTTCTGGATCCTGTAAACAGCTAAGTACTTGATTCTGCGCAGTCATTTCCTGCTCAGGAAATTATCAGCATTTTCCAAGTGTAGTGAGCAACTCAGCAGCTGCATTCAACTGGTCAGAGCAAGGAACTGAGAGCTCCGACTGAATAGCTCATTCCAAAGTCCAGATACTGTTTCTATTCCATGCTCCTAGATCAAGGTCACAGTTAGGAATTGACAGTAATAGGCAGAAAATCCAGTTTGAACAACCTTAAGGAAGGAACAAGAGCAAGGCGGAGGGGGGGTGGGGCACAAGAAATTGAGAGGACTAGAGAAGGTGGGGGGCAAGTTGGATTGGCTCTTTATCTAAAAAGTTTGTGAACTGGACTGTTAGGCACAGTAATTCTAAACTCGGGCTGATGAGATTTCTCAGTGGGCAACACACACAAACACACACACACTAAATAAATGTGATTTTTTTTTTCAACCTCACCTGATGCTACCAGGTCCTACCTCCTGTCTCTTTCTCCTGGGTGGACACTATTAGTGTCAGTGCTCATTTCATAACGAGGTTCGGTCTAAAGCAGGATGGATTTCACAAACAACAGACATGATAGGTGTCCCAGTGTTTCCTGATTTGTCTGGACATGGAACACACCAGCCAGACCCATGTTCAGAATCAACCAGCCTCCCTAAAGCTGTGCAAGCTTACCGTAAAATAAGGCAGGCTCCCTCCGAGCAAATGAGGAGAAGTGGAGTGGATGCCTGCTAGCAAAGCCATACCCAGTCACAGTGGAGAGAATGCCTGCTAGCAAAGCCATAACCATAATCAGCCACGTGGGACTGGCCAGCATTTATGACAGCTTCAGTGAAAACGGGCAACAAGGAAAAATCCATCACTTTGTTGGAAGATTAAAAATTCTAACTACATGTTTCATCAACAGAAAACCAATGATATTAACCTACTTAAAAAGTGGATAATGCACAGCCATTGATGGTTACTTACGGATTGGTATCACAACCTCAGCAGGTATCAAAAAGAGCAAGACTAGGAACCTAGAAGATGGATGGCTCGGTCAGTGTTCACTGTGGGAGAACCTGAATTTGATCTCCAGCACTCACATAAAATACTTGGCATGGTGGCTTAGATTTATAGCACTGACAAGCAAAGAGGTGGGTGGATCCCTGGGGTTTGCTGGCAGCCTAGCCTTCTTGGTGACCCCTAGGTCCAGTGAGAGACCCTGACTCCAAAACCAAGGTGGATGGTGCCGGAGGAATGACATCTGAGGGTGGCCTCTGTCCTCCATTCACACATACCTCACCCCCAACTCTTTCCCATCCATATTTCCCCTTAGGAAAGTGCCACTTCATGGTAGACCCGTGTATCCAAACCGAAGAGATCGAGAAGCAGTGATCTTATCATCTTACGCTGGGGTCTTAATGGTGAGGGAAAGAATACTGTTTGTATGCAGATAGTTCATGTCTTTTACTTTTACTTTTTATTTTTTTTTATTTTTTTATTTTTCAAGGCAGGGTTTCTCTGTGTAGCCCTGGCTGTCCTGGAACTTGCTATGTAGCCCAGGCTGGCCTTTAACTCATAGAGATCCACCTGCCTCTGCCTCCCAAGTGTTGGGATCAAAGGCCTTCGCTACCACTACCAGGCTTCATTCCAAGACTTCTGAGCTCATTTTGGTACTGATGCATATTTGTGTGTTTTCAATATTGATTCTAAATGCCTCAGATTTACTAATAGTAAAATTTATGATTTTAATGCATAATAAAAAACTTAGCTTCTATACCATATTGCAAAAATATTTGAGAGAGAAGAAAATAAGATGAGAGATATTAGTGTCTAGAGAACTTGTGTACACATTAATCTAGAATTTATTACCTACTTACTGTGCTACCTCTCACAGCATTAGACCCACCCATTGGGGCGGCAGTAATCCTGTTTTTTAAGGAAGAAGAAGCCACGATATGACAGCACGTTGTTTTTATTTCGCAGAACAGTATCCCAATTGAAGAAGTTCTTAAAATTTACGGGGCCTATCCTTCTGCGAGTCCTGATTCTACCAAGGTAGCCCTGATATGGGACTTTTGTTTGTTTGGTTGATTGATTGATTTTGTTTTTTGGTTTGTTTTTCTAGACAGGGCTTCTCTCTGTAGACCTGGATGTTCTGGATCACACTCTGTAGACCAGGCTGGCCTCAGACACAGAGATCTGCCTGAGTCTGCCTCCCAAGTGCTGGGATTAAAGGCGTGCACCTCCACCACCCAGCATATGAGACTATTAATACCAAGGATATATACATGCTACAGGTTGAACTCAGGACCTGTTTATGGGTATGCTAAGAAAGTGCTCTACCACTGACATAGACTCCCATAGCTCTTTATGTGCCTGTGTCTGTGTCTGTGTGCATGTGTGCTGCTGGGGACTCTACTCAGAGTCTTCTACGTGCTGTGCATTCATTTTACCATTGAGCTACATTCTCAGACCTTGGATGAGGTTATTTAGCATATTCATGCACATGATGATTTTCAGGCATCAGGTAAATAACAATTTTATGTCAAAAAGCTGAGATAGTGAGGCTGCAGCTCCCGGCTCCCTGGTTCAAATCCCAAGACCTATGTAGTAGAAGGAGAGAACACACACACTCCTGCACGCTGCCCTCTGACCGTCAACGTGAATGCTTGTGGCACACAAGCACCCACCATCCCCTGCTGTAGCCATCTGTAGTAGACCCGTGTCGCAGCCCGTCTTTGTGGGGCTTCAGTTCAGATCCAGCCAACTTGCCCGGTTTGTACATGAGAGGGGGATGTGGATTGAGAAATGTAGGTAAAGACGCTAAGAAAAAGAGACACAGGATAGAGTCAGGATGGCAACCTAGTGACTACTGGATACCCCATTTATTCGTCAACATTCTTAAGTACCCCAACCCAAAGGGAGACATGGCAAAAGACTTCTTTATCGTGTATAAAGAACAAACAGACTTTCTTCCCTAAATTCTCCAAACATTTGGTAACCACACCTTAGACTCAAGAGCAACTACACCTCAGATCAAGTCTGTTGTTATCTAGATAAGACATCCACAAGCAAGATCAAACATCCTACAGCAGTTCTTAATGACTTTATCCTTGGAAGAGTAAGGACAGTTTTGAACTCTCTGACCTTAAGTCAACATGAAGGGGAGCAGCCGGGTGGTGGTGCACACCTTTAATCCCAACACTTGGGAGGCAGATGCAGGCAGAGATCTCCATGAGTTCAAGACCAGCCTACTCTACAAGAGCAAGTTCCAGGACAGCCTCCAAAGCCACAGAGAAATCCTGTTTCAAACAAACAAACAAAAAGATGAAGGGGGAGCCATCTTTATGGGGCAGGACAATCCCCCAAATAAATAATTGTATTGTTTTTGTTTCTCAAGACAGGGTTTCTCTGTGTAGCCCTGACTGTCCTGGAGCTGGCTCTGTAGACCAGACTAGTCTCAAACTCAGATCTGCCTGTCTCCTGAGTGCTGGAATTAAAGGCATGCACCACCACTACACCCAGCAATAATTCCAATTTTAATAAAGGTGAAAATCAGATGCGGCTACATCTTGAGTCACACATGCTTGTAAAATGCCCCCTTGTAAGTGGAGCCATACATAGTAGCTGCCAGTGTGTTTTGTGGGTGGCTGGGTCTGGCAGCAAAGAGAGCACTGGACTAGGAGTCCAGATCCCATTGTTTCTGCCCACATCAACTTCTCACCCGTGTTTTCAGTAACATGGACCTAGCAAGTCACACTAAGCCATGTGATGTATTCTACCACCCAGAATAAGGACCAGACTTGTAAGGCTCAAGCAAAAGATCCGGCTAATGGCAGCCACTACCCTTTTCTCAATGACTTCTTGGGTACCACCAGCAGGATGACCAGCAGGATGCAGAGCTCTGATTTTCCTTCTCCAGAGCCCTCAATGGATCCCTTTCCTTCTTTGAGCCTCTATATTTTATTCCTTTATCTTAAAAAAAAAAAAAACTGTTCTGTTGCCAGATGTGGTAGCACATCTGTAATCTCAGCACTTGGGTGATGGAGGCAGGAGGATCCGGAGTTTAAGGTCATCATCCTTAGTGACATGGGGAATTCAAGCCAGCTTGGGCTACCTGAGGTCCTGTATTTGAAAAACAAATGTATTCTGAATGATTTCCAAGCTGGTTCCCTTCTTATAGTTTATGAATGTGTGAACATTCAGAAAGAATTTAAATATTAGCTATGATCCCTTTAATGATGGAAATTTCCTTGGGGACAGGGAGAGGCTGAACCAGCATGTTTACCCCTGTCCCTTGACTCATTGTCCCAAATGGCTCCCATTTGGGTTTGGGAGGGAGTCCCGTGTAGAGCCAGGGTTAGGAACACAGTCACAGGAGAGGTGCCACCCTGTTTCCTTACCTGTAGATGATAGTATATTACAATGTCTCACAAACACAGGGCAACTATCCCCTGTTCTTGTACCCACAGACCACAGTATGTAAGCAATGGGTCACAACCACAAGGCAGCTTGGAAGGAGTCACAAGGAGGGCAGGGCAGGGCAGGGCCAGGGTCACTGTCACTGACACAGTACAGATATTTATCCCCTGTCCTTGTACCTGCAGACTATACTGTGTAAGTGATAGGTCACCGAAGTTCCAGTGCCTACTTCATCCACCTCCATAGCAAGTATTTACTAAGTCCTGTGGTTTTTAAACTAGCTCCCCAGCACCTGCTGAGGTCCAGTCCCCTTAGCCTCTTAAGGAATCACAGCTGTTTCCCTGACCACAGTACTGCTCATCTGTTTGTCTTTTACGCTTTCAAACTATGAGGTTGAGTGTCAGGAATACACCACTGAACAAATTAGGGTGGCAAGGTGCCTTTTTTGTGGACAGGTTTCTCTTTGGTCTGGCAGCGCGTGTGCACACACACACGCAAAGAAAGAAAGAAAAGAACAACATGAAGACTTCTTATTAATTATGAAAGCTCGGCCTATAGTTTAGGCTTGTTCCTAACTAGCTCTTATAACATAAATTAATCCATTTATAACATAAATTAATCCATTTATAGTAATCTACATTATATTATATGGCATTGCCTCTCTTTCATCTTGTAAAACCAAGGATAGAAGGTGGGATTGTTGTGGCCATTAGGTGAGTCAGTCAGACGAAGTTTTAGCGTTTGGCACATGAAAACTTAAAATAATAGCTAGAATTAAGGTTCTGGAACTTAAGACTGGACAACTAAGTTAGTCTATGTTCTTCTACATCACGGTTTAATTTATCTCCTTTCTTTCTTTTTTTTTTTTTTGTGTGTGGTTTTTGGTTTTCAATACAAGATTTCTCTATATATCCCTGGCTGTTTTGGAATTCACTCTGTAGCCCAGGCTGTACTGAAACTCAGAAAACCACCTGCCTCTGCCTCCAAAGTATCAAGTGTTGGAATTAAAGGCATGCATTACCACACATAGCTTATTTTTCTTTTTTGGTGGGGGAGGGGGGTGGGCAGAGTTTTGTGATGTAGTCCAGGCTAGCCATGACCTCACTGTGTAGCCAAATTGGCCCTGAACTTTGAGGCAATCCCTATCTCAGTATCTGGATCACTCACTGGGATATGCCACCACACCTAGCTTTACATTAGAATTTCATAACCTCTTGAGCCAGACAATTCTGTATTGTATGATGTGTTGGAAGCTGGGTCTGGGAACTGCCATGTGCAGTAAGATATTTAGCACTATGCCTGGCCTCTAGCTAGCAGAGGCAAAAAACTCCTCTTCATTTGTGACAGTTAAAAATGCTTCCTAACTAGCCAGGCATTGGTGGTGCATGCCTTTAGTCCCAGCATTGAGGAGGCCGAGGCAGGCGGATCTCTGTGAGTTAGAGACCAGCCTGGTCTACAAGCCATAGTTCCAGGACAGCCTCCAAATGTAGCGAGAAACCCTGTCTTAAAAAACAAACAAACAACAACAACAAACCCCAAACAAACAAATGCTTCCTAACTGTCAAATGTATCCTGGGGACAAAATCACATCCGATTGAGACTCACAGCTCTCAGCATCCAAACATTAAACAACTGATCAAATGAGTATATTATTAACAAAATGCAAACTTGGCCTATCTGAGTAACCAATTCCCCAAATGATTGTGGTCTGAGGAATTAATGCTAGCAACCCCCCCTCCCCACCCCAGGAGCTCCTACCCACCACTGCAGAATTGCAGGCTTGACTGCACCCAGGGAACTTCTCTTCAACTTGGATGAGAAGCCAGCACTTCAAAAATAAAAGTGTAGGGCTACCTTGGAGTTTAACATAACTTCAAAAGTAATGGTTTTCATTAGAAGCCGGAGTGGTTTAACAACAATAAATGTTGTCAAAGGTTCTTTCATTACCACTTATATGGGAATGACCTTTGATTTCTTTGGATAAAATATCGCCAAAACATCAGCTGAAATAGTTTCTAAGCCAGAGTTTAAAAGCCGGTGGAATACAAATCTGATTAGGATGAACTTCCGGCAACTGGAATGAACTGTGGAACTGTGCACAGCCTGTGACTTTCTCTGGGACTCTCTGCTGCCCCCTGGTGATATAAAGGCGGCACAGGCAGGTACTGTTGACAATCAGGCGCAGGCTTGATAGCTGGCATTTTTTGTTAATAAGGAATTTGGTTTTCTGTTTATTTGGTTTCGTTTTTCTGATAAGGAGTCTGGACCCAGAAAAGACTCAATTAAAGGCTTAACATAAGTGTGGGATGTTTTCCACAGTCTTCAGATAAATATAAAACGTTCAGCTTGAATTAAACTGAAGAAAAAGCATAACTTGTTGGTTCACCTATAAAGCAACTGATAAAAGCATTCTTCAGCCTCATTTGATGTAAGAAAAGGGGCAAAAGAAAGGAAGGCAGAGAGAATAAAAGTGGGTGGAAGGAGAGAAGGGGGCTGAAGAAAGAACCCCAGGGCCTTCAGCTTTCTTCTGTCTTCCCAAAGTTCACCTCATTTTAAGAGCCAGCATTCAAATCCATCCTGAGTAGCACCCAAATGCCATAACCCCCTAGGCAAAGCAGACAGGGCCCAGACTC